TGCCATAACATCCCACACACACACACACACACACGGAGAGCTTGTCACTTTTACTGATGAGGATCCGATATCAGAGCAGGTAATTTAGCTATCCTCGGTGGCCATCATCACCCGCGCCGCCGCCATCATCAGCGTTTTATCTTGGATAAATACAAAGTTCCTGCGTGTGCGGGAACTGACAGGACCAGGATTGCCGTGTGACGACCGGTCCCATTTTCTTTCCGTATCTGTTGGAACAAGTGACATTTGTGTTAGCCCGCGTCGGGTCGCCGTCCGCTCTGTGTAAACAGCTCAGGACGAGACGAGTGGAGTTTGAAAAGACACCCACGTCTCGGCGCCACAGGGTTTTAATTTTCTAATGGAATGATAGTTCTTGGTTGCCGGTTGTTCGTCACCAATTTGCTCTCATTTCACACGGCTTATACCTGCATTATGTTGATGCTAATCACACTTAGTGGGTTTTGTTGTACCGGAGACCCTCGGATGACGGGCCCGGAGTTGCTTGTCTGTTCCTTCTCGACAATAAAGAAAGTCCTTGTCCCGGAGTTTAAGGTCAAACGGTAAACGGGGCTTTGATACGCCCTAGGAAAAATTCCAATCAGAGCCCTTTTGTAATAACATTCATTCTACTATTTTCCTCTCTCTGTCCCCTCTCACTCTCTCTACAGTATAATTCCCCTGGTTTTGCGCCTATAAATATGGACAGGGAAGATGTATAATTTCTAATGAGAAAATATATCCCTTTGGATTGAAAAGCCGGGTCTGTTCCACGCGCTGCTGTTTGTTAGGAGGAGAGATGATACCTCAGGCTGTTTTTGGCGGCGAGGGGAGGAGGTGCCGGTGCTGGTGGTAAGAAGCGCCTGGCTAGGTCATTGCACATTTAGAAATTAGCATTTCAATCATGCAGGTACACGGCCAGCCGGGCAGAAAATGTACATGTTTTTCTAATACGAGGCAGAAAAAGATAAACAATACACGGGCCCTGTGAGTAGAGTTAGTCGTTTCCTAACTGCCTCTTCTGCACGTTGCTGTTTGGGATCCTCGACTAAAAATAAAGGCCCTCCTGCCGCTCTCCTACCCCAGTCCGCGTTAACTCGCCAACTCGTGGCGTCGTGTAATGACGTCCATTAGGAGATGAATACAAGATGTGGATCGCGGTGTTTATTTGGCTGACATGACGTGACATTTGAATAACTGTATGCTCTCGATGATGGGCATTCTAATAAGCCTGGGCAAACACCTTTTGTCTCCCTTCTCCCCCCTTTTTTTTTTTTCCTCCCCGTCTCCGGGGCATTAATATTAAAAAGGACTAAGCTTCAGAAACCCGGAGCTTGCGTGGTCGCTCCATTCCGCTCCCCGCCTCACCTCGGGACTCTCGGCATCGCCGTGTGTAAATTAGAATCTCCAAGCCGCCCTGTTTGACCTCTGCGATATATCTTCATGTTCTTGACTATTTTAGAGTTCTTGTTTGTACAGCGCTGCCTGAGTTGACACGCACGCATGCATGCATATTGCATATTGCTTCCTGGTGGGTCTACCTGACCACACGTGTGTGTGTGTGTGTGTGTGTGTGCTGGGGAAGGGGATCCAGTAGGCTTGTGACATATACATACATAAACATATATACTCCTCTTGTTCTTCCTTCCGTCTTTTGGGTACATTTTCCGGCTGCGTCCTGTAGGACCTATTTTCTGTGACAAAAACGGAGGTGTTTATATACTCCGTTTTACATACAGCGCCGGCGCTCTCCAGGCACTCCGGCGTTCGGTCCCTGTGTGGCGCAGCCACTGAAGACTCTGTGACAAATGGCAATTATATTTGTGTGTTCTTCATGAATCCATCAAACACTGGCCTTTTTAAAAATGCTCCCCAGATATTTGAGGCTGTCAGCGACTAGTAGCTGGGACCAAATTGGGATGCTGCTTAGACAGTCGAGAACCACTCACCCCCTAGTTTCCCCTGTGATGTGTGTGACAGTGTGTGTAGGGGGATACCATGTTTTATTCAACTACAAATGTACACTCTCAACAGTTGTTGATGTGCTAGAAATGGGGCACTTACAAGTCCAATTTGAAGCGTGTGTGTGCGCGCATGTGTGTGTCAACTTCTTCTTCCAAAACATGGTGTTTTAATGCAACCTGTCAGGTTGGGTGCTGTTGGTTATCTCAGGCCACCTAAGCTATCTCTACGAGGCGTATCATTTTATTTTATTTTTTAAAGTAGCTGGGAGTTGTTCATATCCAATTTTGATGCGGTTTGTGTTGCCTGACGTGTTGTGCAGCAGACGATGGAGAGACAGTGTGTGTGTGTGTGTGTGTGTGTGTGTCTGTGTTGCTCCTTGAGTATTTATCTAAAGGCACCTGCTCATAGTTACACTCATCAGTTAAATTGTCGTATTTGTAGTTAAGACAAAAATGTAATTCTTGCATTATATTACAGCACTATATCCAATTTTTCCCAACTAATGGTTTTTCCTGTACGTCTGTACTCATGACTTCATTTGTCTGGTGGTGACTGTACACGTCGGTCATTGCCATCTTTGACAGAATCGTCATTATCGTGATCAATGATTATGAATATTACTCCGTTGTGTCCATTCGTCTCTGTCACAGAGGATAAAAATAAAGGCTATCCGGGGACCTGCCACTGAGGGACACGTATCAGCCGACCTGAACCACTTTTCGGAGCCTCGCAGCGTGTCAGTAACCGGAGTCGTTTGTCGTTTATTTGCGCGGTTGTTTCTGAAAAACTTTTTATGCTTGGGTAAATTGAAAGCTTGACTTCCTCAAAAGGAAAGGTAATTATGCCTGCCGGTCTGCTTTGGCCTTCTTGTGCATGGACGTGTGTTTACGTGTGTTTGCGTTGAGCCTTGATGGGGAAAACTGCTGCGTTGTTATGCAACGTATACGGCCAATTGTTTTGTTGGAGAACTGACATCCTGTAAGTGGTGGAGTTTTAGCGACGAGATACTCGAGGGACAGAGGAATTACTATTGCTCTGCCTCTTTAGCTGTGATTCGTGCTACGTGTGTGGGGGGGGGTCTTTGTAAATGAGTTAATCATTGGCTATAGAGAGGGATCCCCCCTTCTGTTTCATTAATGTCAGCTATGGCTTTGCTTTGTTTACTCATTTTAAAACGTGCAGCTTCATCCGAAGGATTAAATTCTGAGAGGAAACATTACCGTTGAGATTTGGAGAGTTCGCTTTCCTGGATTCTGCCAGTATTAAAACATGAATGACGTAAGGTGTATATATATATTCTGACTATTTGTGTGAGTGTGTGTGTGCTCTGAGCTTCCTTTCATACCAGCGGTTTGCTGACCAGTAAAGCAGAAGAGAGGTGAATAATAATTTGCGTTTATTAAAATGGTGTGAAAAACGTTGCAAGGTGTCCGAGGTAAAACCCTAAGAAGAACAACAGATGTAGCCTACTCCGGGCCTTCTCGTTATCAAGCATCCCCCCCCCCCCTCCTCACCCTCCCATTGTCACGGGCAGACTGCAAGGCCTTTGTCTTTTGGAGTAGAAAATCCATCAACCTGGTCTTAAACCACTGCATAATGAATGCTCCTGCGTGCTACCCAGTTGTCTAATTCAAATTGCACGCTATCCTGATCCCTAAAGTCTATATTTGTTTATCGAGCTAGCATGGAGGAGTCTGAATGAGGAGAAGGCAGAACCCGGTGTGTGTATTTAATTGCTTTGTTTTACATCCACATCCTCGTCCGGCCTCTCCCTGGGAGATGTGTTGTTAAAAAGCGCGAGGCCCGATTCCCACACTCTCTCTCTCTCTCTCTCTCCCCCTCTTGTTAACCATAATTGCACTTGTTGGTGAGCTGACAGAAAGAAAACAGAGATGGAAAGAAATTACCAGCATCATATTAACTTCGCTGTCGGCCCGCCTCCCCTTTGGAGAATGCGTTGGGCCCAGCGGCAGGAGCCTTAAACGGGATTCATGGTGTGGAATACGCCGGTGAAGATGCTATATATTCGCCGTACATACAGGAAAAAAAAAGACCCCGAATACGTATGGTTCACACCGGCAGACTTTAAAGGAGATGAATAATTCACTAAATCTCAAGTTAACCGTGCACGTGCGGCGCGTGCGCGTGCACAGGCGCTCTGATGTGGAGGGAAGGTAATGCAGGAGCAACTCCCAGTAGAGCTGAATGTGCAGGTGTTCCCCTCAGAAATGCCACCTCCCTTTTCTCACTCACATCCTTCGCCTTCTTTCTTATCAGACAGGTCGCTGTCTCCTGACTTTCTGTCGCTGTCAGACGCACACTTAGAAAGGCCATCTCTGAGCTTTCAGAGGAAAGGAGATCATTACTGTTGCAGACAGCAGCCTTTTTTTTTGTATATGCACAGTATCACAGTGCTCTCTTTCCCCTTTCGCAGCATTAATCTCCCCCCCTCCCCTCTCGCACGCCGCCGCAACTCACCTGGGTACCGTCTGTCTGCCTACAGCGGTGGCTTTCGTGAACCTGTCACATACGAGGTTCCTATATCTCCTTTGCCTCGTTGCGGGTGGAAATGTTTGCCCTGTGATCGATACGATCCTGTTTGGAAACGTCGGCAGAATTTGCTGAGAATTATTTAAGGCGTTTTCTCCACCGTGCAGACAAAGTTCTCGTCAGTGGGAATAAAGTAACGGTGTTGTCACGCTCGTACTCCCGTACGAGGGGAGGGGGGGGGACTCGCCTCACCGTGAAAATAGACTCGACATTCAGGAAGTTATTGAAGTAAACCGCTATTCCTTTTGATGCTTGTGTAAGTGAGTGTCTTGTCCTCCACACTTGCATCAAAAATCAGCCCAGTGTTTAATTTCAGCTTTGTTGTATGGTCTTTTATTAGGACCCTGATCTCGCAGCGGGTCAGTTCAGTCTGCTGGGTAAATGCGAGCAAGAGGAAATACTGCAAAGAAAGAAAGAAATCAAATCATTTATTTGTCCATGAATACCGCAGCTAAACAACCAAATGTTTTCTTCTTTCCCGTCTCCAGCCCAACCGCAGTCCCAGACGTTTCCCTCGGAGCCGGCCGAGGGAAACGCTGGCAAGGAGCCAAATGGCCTTCGCCACAACAGCGCAGGCCCGCCCGCGCTAAGCAACGGGGCCACGCGCACATGCTTCTGCGGTGCCAAAAGCAGTGCAGACGCCGCCGCCGCCGCGGGTGGGTCCGGCCCTGGCGCGAGATCAGCGCCGACGGCGACGCAGCAGCCGCCCAGGAAGCAGCCGCCAACGCCCGTGTCGCAGAGGGTGCAGAGGAAACTGAGGTCCAGCCTGTCGGTCAACAGCGACAGCAGCAGACGCAGTAAAGGCAGCTCGATGGGGTCGCAGAAGCCTCCTTTACCAGAAGGTGAGTGTCCACGCGCAGGGTAACAACGCCGCCCCCGCCGCCGACCCACGCGTAGGCACCAGCTTTTCAAACGCTTGTTTGCGTGCTCGCTTTAATTTCAGCATCACATCTTTTGTTTTCGTCAAAGAGCTGAGGCCTCCATTCATAGAGACACCGTCGTGGATGGTTTGAGCGAAATGGCATTTAACAATTTGAAAGGGACAAATGGAAAATGAAAATGTTCTCATGTAAATGTTTTATGGTTAGTTTGGTTAGCCAGATTTATTTATAATTACTTACTAGTTCTAATGTTAGGTTGGAATTCAGTTTGTCCTGTTCAAAGACAAACCTAGTAATAACGCATCGTAAAAAAACATCAATTGTTGCCAATATTTTATGTAAAAATGACTAGACTAAATGCAACAAGCTGGTCTTTTAAAGAACAATGATGAACTGTATTATGCAGCACAAAAGAACCACCCTGCTGAACTCAATACTATCTGCTGCCATCTAACCATCAAGGGGATTTCTCTGTTGAGGGGGCAGTTCTGCCGAAATAATTCCTTACAAGATATTGATAAAAAATCCTTACCTTCTCTCACCTTTTAATGACGTGAGTGCATGACCTGTCATGTTTATCACTCCCGTCAAGCAAATGACATCTTATCCTGCTCCCGTTGCTTTTATTTTCTTTGAGTCAAGAGGGCCCATTGGCCATGCAGGGAAGCCGTCACTTTGTCAGGTGCAAGGCGGATGTGAGTCCAGTAATGAAGGCGGTCGGCTGGTCCTTTTCCATTGGGGAGATAGGTGTGACCGTCTAACGAGGCCCGGGCGCGCAGGGTGCCTATTAAAAGTCGTGACCAGCCTTCTCCGGGCCCCTCACGGCCCCTCACACCTCTCCGGGCCCTTACTGCTTCTCCCCACATCCCGTCAGCACCACCCTGGCCCTCATTAACGTCGCATGCCTCCTCCGCTTGTACTCTGCCGCTGTGCGTGTGTTTGTGGACATGCGTGTGTTCCCCGTGTGCTCTGTAGCGTGGACAATGTGAGGGTTTTAGGTTTGTTTCTTTAAAGTACCGGGGCAACTCCTCCTCAAGGCCCTTGTTCTTATGCCTTTTTATGGGCTTCTACTTCAAGGGGGAGACGGAAAATAATGCAACGTTATGCTTTATTAAAGGATCGGCAACGGTCAGGTCGAGATCCAAGTTTAAATGAAGGACAAAAGTGGGCTGTCAGATCTTTATTTGATGCGGCCCCGACTTGAAATATGCAACAGATCGAGCTGCGGGGCGGCCCAAACAAGAAGGCCCACATCCACAACGGCCGGAATAAAGGTGGGACGCATCCAACAGAAATACTCCGGACACTCCAGTCGTGTTTTCCTAAATCTCAATTGGCACTAAACAGAACTGAAAGGGCCTTTTAAACAAAAAAGAAAACAACAACAGCAGCAGCTCAGCAGCAACAAGTCTCATTGTGGCTTTTGTGTTGCTTATTTGCAAACAGGAGCTCTCCGAATCAATATGTTCCCCCTCGACTATTTATTTCCCCTCGGAGAACAGCCAAGCTGTGGCGTTTGAATGTTTACACGGATTAACATAATCTGTTTGCCTGTGAAATTAGCCTCCTAAACAGCCCCTTGAACACAGGCAATAAAATGCGAGAGCTAGCATGAACCAGCTCTGGGGAGTCTGCTCTCTTCCCCGTGCTTCTTGGCACGCGCCGTCGGCGCCGTAGCCAATCGTGTGATAACGCCGCAGCTTCTGAGGACTCACTTAACACGCCGCTTTTGTTCAGCGGGGCGGGTTGCCTCAACGCTTGTCATCCAGTTTGTGTTTTTGTTAATTGTGTTTAATCAGTTAAGGCCTCCAAGCTGCTCTAGCCTCATTTAGAGATTTAAGGCCAAAGCCGCGAGCGCACTCGCCTTGATGTGTGTGTGTGTGTGTGTTGTGTATGCGCTAGTCCTCTAGCTTCGGCTTTTCCCCTCAGTCATGCATTATAAACAGCCTTGCTTTAAAGTGTATGTTGTGGGCCTTCTCTAACCAGCCCACATCCTCTGCCCTCTTTACCCATGTGCGGCCTCTCTGCATTCCCATGGCCACCAAGGCTTTTGTCTCATCAATATCTCTCTCTCTCTCTCGCTCTTCATCTTTGACCGCCTGTCCATCGAGCCCCTTTCTCTCCCTCTTTGTAACTTTTGGATGTCTCGCACAGCTTGCCGCTCTGAGGCCCATCCATCCTTGTTTTGTGTCACGCCGCTCCCTTTTATTATTTTATTATTATTTTTTTTTTATATGAGCCTTCCGGATGTCTAAAACCATTTCCCCGGAGGCGCCCGGACGCTGCCTTCGGCCCCTGCAAACTCTGGGCTTCATCGGCGCCCGCTGACATTAAACGGGCGCGGTGTCAGCGCTCTGTCTGTTGGCTGGTTTCACCCAGTGTTCTCCGTCTGTCCCTCTTTCGCTGTTTTTCGCGTCCAGCTCTCTTGTGTACAGTATACGACCCCCACACCTCCTCCTACACCCCCTCCTCCATCCCTTCCTCCTTACCCGCCTCTCTAAGATCCAGACTAATCGCTGGTGTTGAATTATACATCCAAGCGCATAGCTGAGACTGCCGTCCGCTGTTTAATGCCTGTGTGCTCCCCTCCGGCTCCTTCCAAGTTTGTTAGGCTGAACTTTTGAGTGTCTCTTGTTGGCGGAGCTTTTGCCCGAGCGGCGTTTATTGTCCTCGGTGGCCTTCCGTACCAATCTGGCGGCGGCGCGCCACAGCGGATGCCGGCACAGAACGTAGTTTCTGTTTCGTTATGCCGCCGTGAATCAGATCCGCGATCTGCCCGACAGCAGTTTACTGGGATGACCACACCGGATGTTGAGAAGTGAATTTATTCTCACGCATCTTCCATCGGTGCCAGTGTTATGGCTTCAGATAAGGATAATAAGATGCATTCAAACTTCAGGCACCCTCATAGACACACACACACCCACGCGCTCGCGCACACACGCACTTGCTCGTTTCATGTTCCCTTTTCTATCTTGTTTGTATCACAGTCAGTTAGTGCTTCTGGTCAGCTTTGCAGCCCTGAGCGCCGCAAAAATAGAGTAAAAAAAAAAGAAAACCCTCTACTTTGATTAATCAAACATGAGCATCCAGCGGTCCTCAGCTCGCCTTCCCGTGCCGTCCTCCACACTCTCCTCCCTTCGCTCTTCCTCTCCCTCTAACCCAATCAGTAACAGCCCCCTCTGACAGCTCTAGATGGGCTGATGAAAGTTATGCAAATGTGCCCTGTTTGTAATGCTATTTTTCTGCATCCATCCACATCATGTCTTTTTAACACTCCAAAGCAGTGGCGCTGCGCTGGCCTTGGTTCAAAAAGGAGACAGCTGCAAGGCGCATATGCCAGGCGCACTTACCGGATGATTTACTGATCCAACTGTAGAAGTTCTGGTGTGGAGCGTGGGCAACAAAAATTGTGATGCAATCCGTGGGCTTTGCATAAGCAGTTATCTATTTAACCTCCCCTTGTGTGCACTCTTTTCTATTTTTCCTGATTATGTATTACATTTCACTGGGTTTGATTTAAATCAAATTTTAAAATGTAGATTGAGTTCCTTTCTTGAAAAATGAGAATAGGTAAATGTATTCTATTAAATTACTGTGCTGTAACTATTTTGTAGAGAAATAACCCCTTTGTAAACTTTTTCGCTCCGCATCCTGCACTTGCTGCATGGCATTACTAACACACTGTGTCAGCGGAAGCAAAACATTTCATTTGTTCTTTTTCATTACCTATTCATGACTGAAGCGTTTTAATGAAACAAATTCAGCCATTCAGAAACCGATTTGTGACGGTTAATGGGTGTATTGGTAATTCAAAGGGGAACCCTTTTATTGCGGCGCGACAACAAGCTGGAACTCGCCACCGGCTATTTAAAGGCAATTCTGCGAGGAGGTGAAATGTTAATCAGTGGTGTGAGCGTTGCCAGCATTAATCCACCTATTTACCAGGAGGCACTCTTGGACCTCGCTAATCATCTTTGTGTGATCAACCGAGCAGTTTGCATGATAATGCCACAATTATTTAACACTCGGTTAATCAAAACCGCAGGGAAGGAATCTTTCTTTTTGAATTTCTCTTATTCCCCCCCTCCCCCCTCCTCCCCTGCCGCCCAGTTAGCCCTCACCATTTCCCCGCGTACCTCCGTTCCACCTGTCGGCCTGCCGAGCATGCGACTCCTCGCTCGGGCGCTCAGCCCTGCGCCTCCTGCTTGTGTATTTCTGGCATTTTGATTTTCTACACACACCTTTTTTTTTTTTTTCCCCCCCCGGTATACTCGTGTGTTTCTTGTGTACTTTTTTTTTTTTTTTTTCACTCATGTCCTTGTTTCACTTCACCGCTGGACACGCCGAACCCAGACTGCTGCGTCCACTGCATCTTGGCCTGCCTGTTCTGCGAGTTCCTGGCACTGTGCAACATGGCGGCGACGCAGGCCTCGTGCGGCGCGTGCACCCCGGAGGCCTGCTGCTGCTGCTGCTGCGCTGACGACCTGGGCGACGACTGCAACTGCCCCTGCGACATGGACTGCGGCATCATGGACGCCTGCTGCGAGTCGTCGGATTGCCTGGAAATCTGTATGGAGTGCTGCGGCATCTGCTTCCCCACATAGGGCGGGACCCAGGATGGAAGAATGAATTTGAGTTCAGCAACTTGTTTTGTTCAAGGCACAATGAGTAGGATTTTTACGGTTGCTGTTTTGCCATCACAACAAAGCAATACTTTTCTGTTACCTTCTTGGATACGCGTGGTTTGCAATCTCTTACAAAGCCAAATTAGGCGGAGGGCAGTCTCTCTACAGACAGATGTACCACCTACATCCAGTTATATGTAAGTGGTGCTTTAGTGGGATTATTTTTGTATTGGTCTATGAATTGTTTAAAGGAACTTGAAGCGAATTTGACACGGCCCCTGTGCGCCAAAGTACTCTCACTCTTCTCATTTTACTGCACTGGGGCCTGACTGTGCTGCCCGAGTGTGTCAGCGGAACAACTTTCAGGTGAACCTGACTGATTTCATCAACCCTGAAGCTGAAACGGCCCCGATGACAAGGAATCGCTATAAGAATAACTATATACAGAAATGGACAATAGTCTGACTGAGGATCTCGTTTACTTATGTTTGCCATGTAGAGGCATCAGTATTAAATTGATACGGTTTAATACGGAAACCTTTTAAGTATTCTCTCTATTACGTAAGACGTATTATTACAGGCCGTCTTAATGATTTTTTTGTTACATCAGGAATGCTCTCTAATTGTATCTTATCGTCTTAGTCAAAAACCTAATGCTTCATTTATTCTGATTTTATTTCTCATTGCTCAAAATCTGAGGTTACAGTCTTAGTGCTGTACAACACTGTAAAAGGTTTAAGTGAAATTTCATACATTCTTAGTTGCATACTTTTGCAACAGCAACTCTCGTATACAGTTATTTACTGTAGCACTGTAGAACAGTTGAAACTGGTGAAATATCAAAGGGGGAATCAGGACATCACAAATGCAACATATGTGCCTTTTTTGGTTATTTGTACATTTCCATTCCAAGCGTTCTTCTTAATTGAAGTTGCCTGTACCTGAAAAGAACTGGACAAACTGATGAGCATGTATTTATTTGCTAAATCCTGGTGGAAGGTCAATGAAAGCGTGTCTTAACGATGAATCGCAACACCGCTCCACATTTGGAAGTATTTGCCGCTTTGGGATTACTGGAAATACAGCGCAGATACTCAAGAAAAATAACATCTCACTGCAACGTAAAGATAAGCCATGTGTTTCTTTATCTAATGTTAGCCATCTACAATCGGGCTTTGTCAGCTGCGTATGGTACAAGTCTTTTCTGTGATGCTATGTTCCATACATACTATGTAAATATGTTGAACTGCACTATGTTCATGAGGGCTTTGATACGGAATTAAAAAGGGCGACCCTTTTGCCGCATAAGCGGCTTTCGGGTATCGAGCCTCGTGACTCGCAATGCAAAAAAAAAAAAAAAATTATCACGGACTGTCATGTTGGAATGGTAAACTAATGCCGGGGAAAGGCAGTTTTTTTTTTTTTTCTCTTCTCCTTTTCTCCCCTCGGTTCCTCAGTTCTGTGTATCTCGAGATGATGAGTTTCTGGTGAATCACCAGCGGAGTCATTCTCTTCTCTCGGAGATCCGCTTTGATGTTGTTGAAGTGCTGATTCGTAATGCTGGCCTTCATTAGCACCGCTTGCTAACTGGTTGCAAAAAGTGTCCCATCCGCAAGGCAACAAAGATAATGTGCTGTCATGCACGGATCGTCTTAATGGCGCACTGTTGTTTGTGTGTGTGTGTGTGTGTGTGTGTGTGTGTGTGTGTGTGTAAGGAGGTTGAGGGAGGAACCGCTGCAGCAGATTCTGAGGAAAAAGTAAAACCTCATTTACATGTTTATGATTAACTCACAAGAGTATCAAAGAACATTATAGATAATGTGAAGAAATCATCTAACATATACGTTGCTATGTAGCTGCAGTAGTTGTGTTGTCTATTTCTATTGTGTGCCCGACACTTGGTCCTTCTCATTTTCATCATTTGTCAATTTTAGAGGTCACAGCTCATGTTCTCACTTTTGTACATTATTTTCAATCTCAGAGAAAAGTTTGAAAAAAATAAAACTTTTCCAAAAATGTATGTTTGTTTTGCACACGTTTTGTTGCCATTATGTTCCTGTTAGCCTGAACGAAAGCGTCAGCTTGTTATTCTAAGTCCATTGACATTGATTTGTATCAGTAGGCTTTTTATTTTTATGGTTTAACTCGTGTTTAACATCTGTAAACATTTGAATAATTGCATTCAAGGGATCCAGAAACTATTTTGGTTGTTAAAGAATCCCTTTAGTGATGTGTTTTCTGGTTTCAGTTTTATGTCTTGCTTATCTTTGGTTTATTCCATGGTGTGATGAATATCTTTTCAGTTTTGGAAAATGACACTTGAATAATCGCCTTTAGGCTGTGAAACATTATAATGCACATTTCTCACCTGGCGGAGATGGGATAAGGGTGAGATGCTGAAAATGAATGTAATTTAACAACTCTTATTTTCCTTCACTTTATTTTATGTTTGTCACAACAGTTTTGCCTCCAAACCGGTTTGCTATTGCTAAACTTCCATTATTATTATTATTATTATTATTATAACAACTGGTTGTGTGCTGTAAACGCTCTGTTTGTATTTTCCTTTTTTCTCTTGTAAGCGAGGCGCCGGCCACATCTGTAACCTTTGCGCCGCCCCCCCCCCCCTCTCCACGGCCCCTCTCTTCGGTAGAGGAGCCGCTGCTAACACGGAAACACGGACCAACAACACTGGATGAGTTCATCAGGGAGCAGGGACCTCCTGCTGGCTGTAACAGCAGTCTGACCTTCAGCCGACACCACCCCCCGTTAACCCCTCAATTAACCCCCACGTCAGCGGCCATGCTGGGAGAGCGAGGAGGATGAGTCCCCCCCCCCACACACACCTTTTCCATTCTTTATTTCCTTTTGTCATTTTCTGCCTCGATACACCCTGGCCCGGGGAAATTACCATCTTATTTCACTAATGCGTTGGGGAAAATAGCACTGTCCAGAAAGTCTGCAATCACGCGGGAGTTTCTTCCACTTTTTGTCCGTGTTCGCAGAGGAGGCGGAGAGTTGGAAATATTCAAAACTCCAGGTGGAGTGTGTGCAATGACCTTTTCACAAAGTTGTCCACCTTTCCACTCTCTCTAATCAATCCCCCTCTGATCGCTCGCTGTGTGCTGGATTGTAATGTCACAATTAGGACGGCTCCATTGTTTCTGTTTGCCGTCTGGGGAGAAATTCAGCACTTCTGTGATCGCAAGGTCATTTCTCTCGCAATATTAAATAAATTGGAGCGTGGCGGTGGCCGCCTCTTCTGACTCGCTGCGTATAAATCCAGCCATCCGTCACCTCGTCCTCCTCAATTGGGTGGGATGCAACTCGCTCTCACTCAGAAGAATGAAAGTCTGCCGCGAGGACAAATCACTGCTTTTGCTGTTGCTTTATATAAAGACAAAAAAAGCAGATGGGTGAATTAATGGTGTTTTTCCTTCGTTGTTATATTGGAGGCAGATGATAACCATATTATAATAACATCTAATATGGCTAATTAGAAAGGACAAGAGGGATGGCGGGAAAGTGACACTTCTCTTTATTCACCATCTGTTGTTTTTTTTTTTTCCAGATGGAACATCAATGCTTGTTTTTGTCAAACTGTCCTCTATCAATCCATAAAATCCCGTAATCATTACCTGATGTGCTCTGGGTATATAAATAATATTGTATTATGAGTCATTGAAGATGAATACACAGCTATATATACTTTAGTAAGTCATAAGGGATTGTAAACACCACACTGTAACGCAGTGATTCTCGTCCATCTTTGAGGCAGACACTCTTTCGCCTTTATATCTTTAAAAAACAGGACGGTACCCTTTTTTTCCCCGTTTGAGCAATCCCAACAGCCCTTTTTTTTTTTCCCTCTCTCTCCAACTCCAGCGAGTGTCAAAGTTTGAAGAAACGTGACCTCGCTGTTTAGACTTGTGGCACCACATTAAAATCCGATCTTTCGGAGGGCTGCGCAAGAAGACGGAAAAACAAGAGAGGAAGAGTTCGAGTAATGTCACTTTCAATTAGTCTCCTCAGGTTGTGGCCCCATTATCTCTCTCACACGAGGTCCCAGTTTACGATGCAAACCGGGTCCTGAGGAGACTTCTTACACCACATGTGACTTGTTTACTTGTTTGCGATTTATTGATGTGGATGCCAAAAGGAAAAGTGCGTTAGCAGTGAGTTAAAAAGCATTTTTGAGGTGTTTTTGTATTCTTTTTTTTACCCCCCCCCCCCCACCCCCCCCCAAAAAAAGCTCCTTAAATTCAACATTCAAAAATTGGATCAGTCTCAAAAACAGAGTCTCGGCAATGAAATGTAAATGATTTCCGAGCGAAACATTTGTATTCTTTGTTCGCCTCCCTTCACAGAGTGACAACGTGTGATCGTACTCACACCTTAAATATTTAAAGACCCCCTTTTGCTAAACCTTTGCTGTGGTACATGGGCCTCTGACTGCTTCTAATCTCCTTGTTACCTGGAGGCGTCGCCGCGGCGCTGCAAAGGCAACGTGGCAGTTAGCGTGATCACGAGACTGAAAGAAAGAATGAAAAAACAAAAACATGGATGGGGGGCACGAAGAGGTTCAAAGTTGTGCCACGCGACGGCGCCGACAAACATCCGCCTGAGAGAACGCAGGAATCCGACATGAATGAAAGGGGAGAACAGACGCTGAGATGTCTTCCGATCCTTTCCTTTCTTCCTCGAAAACCGCCTCCCCCCCCCTTCTCCTGCCTCGCTCGCATCCCTCCCCCGTCTAGATGCCGTGGCATCCTAAACTGTACGCCGTTTGTGTTCAGGCGGAGGGGTTTTCTCTTTTACGGATGGAATCAACAGAAGCCGGGGTCTCGGACCTGTAACTGAGACGTCAACTCAAAGTTGCGCACTTTCAACTTGTCCTATTTTCCTCCCGCCCCTGCGCGTGGGAGGCAACAGACCGTGGGGGAGGCAAATTGAGAGGGACGCGCGGACCAGGGATGCCTGTTTATTTGCTTGTAAGCGCTCCTTGAGCTTTAAATTAGACGTCACCATTGTTGCATGTCACTTGCTGATGTGGACGTGTTGCGGTCTCCCAAGCAGCACTTTTGATTGTTTGTTTTTAACGTCACTTAAATGAACCCGGTCTCCGCTCAGCCTGCAGTCATCTGCATCCCGCGGATGATTGGCAGCTTGTTTGGGAGGCCCGCTTGTTCGTTTGGAGCTAATCCGAGCGTTTACAACCTCTCATGAAGGAGGTTATTTTCATGATCAAATGCTTGGTTCGTCTATACAAAGAAAACCGTTTTTGCAATTTGGGTTTCGACGAAGCCTTTTCTCTCCTCAGTGTTTTGGGACTTTCCAAAGCAATTGAAACAGTTCATAACGCAAACTTAATGTCATAGAAGGTTGATTTTTTTTTTTCATAGATTTGATGGTTTATGTGGTTTTCAGTGACCTTTTTGTGTTGTGTTTTTCACAGCTTCCTCCACAAATGCTTTAATTGAGCATAAACATGAGCTCAGGCCCAAAACTTGCCTCACGGGGGTTTGGTTTTTTTTGTTTATCCGAGATGCGCGTTTGTGTGTGTGTGTGTGTCCCCTCCTAACCCGACCAAACCAAGCCACCGCGCCCAGACACACACACACACACACACTCACATGCAGAGGGAGAGAGCATCTAGTAGCTTACCTCCCTCCATGCAGAAAGAAAACACGGATCAAGGTCTTAATAACACCAGCCATTGTGGCAAATACATAGGACTCAACTTTCCGCTTGGAGCAGCATCTTCACATTGAGTTAACATGACTGACAGGCAAAACCTCTCACAAACACACACACACACACACACACACACATGCTGGCTCTGATATGCTTTGCAAAAACAGGGAAAAACACGAGATGAAACAAACCTGTTCGCCTCAGTGTTTTTCCATATTCTGCTCGGGCAAAGCCGAAGCTGTTGTGTCTCCCTTTCCTTTGACAAGTAAATAAGCACGGGCTTAATTGTTTGTCAGATCTGTTAAATTGTTTTCCTGCTACAAACACTGACTCTAGGCAGACAACAATACAGCAGCGAGACCCCCCCCACCCCCCCTCTACTTCCACAACCCTACTAGCAGATGCCTTGCCTCAAGGTGTTTATTTGCCTGTCAGGCGTCTTTAATTGTTTCATCTGCGACAAATAAACACATCTCCTGTTGCGCGTTTGTTTACACGCCGCCCAGCAACAAATTGCCGCTGCGGCTGTTTGTTTGCGCCGACGCGTGGGGCCTTGCAGCGCGGATTCGGAGCGAAGGTACCCAGGCATTCGCAGCGTGCGTGCGTGCGTGCGGAGGGGAATTCGATAGTTTACAGGTGTGCATCGGCAACACCTGCTCACATCCACATCTGGAAGAGCACTTCACGTAGTGTAAATTAGCGTGTGTGTGTGTGATACAGTGGCGAATTGTCAGTGGAAGTGGGCTGTTTTGTGCATGCCATTATCACGTACACGCAGGCTCGTTATATTTAGTTTAGTTCGCTCATTTGAATTAACCATTGTTAAAGAAATACTTATTTATCTCGTTTCTTACTACATCTGTTACTGCGTCGGTGGGCGGTTTGCCTGGAGTGTAAACGCCATATCCTCCAATGTTTGCTGATTCCTAAGGTGGATGGTGTCAGTGTGATTATTTCTTCCCTCAAGCTTCGTTGTGTGCCAGATGTTAACATTGTTAGCATACCCAATTAAAACACGGTGCTTGTGAAGCACAAAACCCGTCGTAATCCGTGTGCGTAATACAACTTTGAAAACACAAACATTTAGACGGGCTTTGGTTTACAGATCGTCGCGTATCTGGGAGTGTGCACTGTTGCATATTTCATCTAGTGCATTGACGACAGATATGAATAGTTCATTGGCACTTATTAATACTGTATGTTTGCTCTTCTTAAACAGAAAAGTCCTGGGGAGCCATCTAAACAAGCCCGCTCGCAGTATATTTGAAGCCATCTGAAAGCAGTCAAAGGTGCGTCTTTGAGATAGAGAGAGAGGCAAGTGAGG